CCCCAAAACCCCAAAACCCCAAAACCCCAAAACCCCAAGGGTTTAAAGTCAGCTTGAAACTGTTTAATTACCAATTTTATAAAATGGAAATATGGGTGAGAATGAATTAATTTAAAAGGTCTAATTATTAGCGATATCTTTTTCTATCCTCTCGAAGATAGATTATTTTTGAATTTTCAGATCCTTGATAATTTGAAGTTTGTTGTGAATCAAATGAGGAGTTTGATACTAGCCTCTTCTCTCGAATATACTCTCTGTAATTATCAAATGCTTCTCCTGTACTTCCAGCTAAATATTATTCAAACTTAAATACTCTCTTTAAGCCTGCGGGACATTTCATTATAAATTCCTTTCCATTTTTCAATCTCTTTCTCTTGTCTAACAAGCTCATCATCTTCATGATCTTCATTATCAATAACAGGAACCTCTGAACTATCGAAAACATCAAAATCAGGGGCTCTTAAACTCTGTGTTGCAGGACTTTGAGCATAATCCTCCATAGAGTAATTAGCATAACTCCCATAGACATAACTATCTTGGTCCTGATCAGAGATTCAGTCGAAGCTATTCGCAACAACAGTTCTTTTCGATTCGAAAATCTGAAGCAAAGTTTGAGCAATGATCAAAATAGATTCTCTGTTATCTGAACCATCATTATTCATCTCAAAGTTTTGAACTTGCTCAATGAGCTTAGACCCTGTTAAGTCTAGTTTGTCAAGATCAATATTGTTTATCATAATCTCTTTGCACAGAGAAGACAGGGAATGCACAAATGTAATGTCTGATGATAAGGTCTGGCTTGGCTGGAATGAGCTGGAGAATGAGGATCTGTTGAATATGTCCTAAAGGGTTATTTGGGGGGATACAATGTTTTGAGAGTCTCACATTGTTTCTGTCTCTTTGTGTTTTAAGGATTTCATAATTTTGTATAGTTTCTGGTTAATTCTGGGGATTGTTTCTTCTCCGGTTTCTAGAGGAATGAGAATAGATGAGTTACCATGTCCAAGGAATTCAGTGAGATCGAGGTCGTCATCAACGAAGGTTCTGTATCTCTGGTTTTTCTTCTTTGCTGGTTTACCTGTTCAATATTGTGAATGGAGTTCAATATTTTTAGCTGGAATGAACTCATTTCAGTTTATGCACATTGCATCAACCTCTTTTTCTTTTCTTTTTGGTCTAAAATTATTATAAATTAGCATACAAAGTTGGTTGATATGTCCTGTCAGATTTAAGATCTTTAAATGGAGAATATCCAGTATCTTCCATTTTGTGCTGTACTTTACTAGTGTCAATATAAAAATTTCCTAAATTATCTGAAATTCTAAAGCTTGGTTCATCATTAACGTCTGAGTCAACTTGTCACTCATCTTCGGTTTCATCTAGGAAAAATTGTTTAGGAGCATATTGTCCCTTGGTTTCTTCTTTTGGCTCGGAAATTATTAGTGAAGGTCCTTCCTTGGTATACATTTTATATTCAGGGGAGTAATCATATTGGATACTTGGTGGTTCAATATCTGATTCCAGTTCATCGAAGGAATCTGATTCGTATTCAGGTTGGTATAAAATTGATGCTCTTGGAGGTGAGTTAACTTGCTGCTCCTGCTGAATCATTTTCTTTTGCTCTGTTAATCCATCAACTATCATTTCTGATAATAACTGCATAACTTGGTTTTCAAGAATGTCATCACGGATCTCTTTTATATTCTCATTAAATTGAATTATTTCGCTATTTTTATACTTTGAACGTTTCTTTAAATAATCTTTCCCGATGATAGCATATTTAGGTGTATTAATTTTTGGCTTTTTCCTATAAAAGTCAAAATATGGGCCATTTACCTTTGATGATTCCGCAACCTTTTCGCTTCTTTCATGCAGTTGCCAACCACTTCAGCGACCATGTGGTGCATTGTCTCTTCAAGCATAGTGTCTTGAGCTATTGCTACAGCGTTTTGTGCGGCTCTTGCAGTATTAATTCCAGCAATTTGTCGAACAACGTACATATCATCGTTCCTGAGCCCATCAATGTAGTAAGAATATTGAGTGTAAAACTCTTGATCCCCGAACAAAATTCTCAAGCAATTTAAATTGTTCATAGCTTTATTTTTAATTATTGATTCCTTGGATATTTCAGTTAAAAGTTTCAATACCTCTGACTCAACCAAATCACCTATTTTGGGTTAGAGGAGGGGTTAAATAGCTTACTCGTTATCTGGAGGTTTATTATATCCCTGATGTTTTTTGTGGCATCTTGTCTCATCTCAGAAAATGTTGAAGAAATAATTTCTTCAACCATATTATTTGAAACCTTTTGAAAAATATTATTTTGAATTTCTTGAGGAATAATAGTTTCTAAGATTACCCCTTCCACTGACTTTTGGATTGCTTGCTCGATTATTATATTATTTCAGTTTTCTGCTTCTGAATCCAAGGCGTCTTTGATTTCTTCAAATACGATGTCATAGACTTGGTCAGTCACAACTTTGTCAACCATTGTGTTTCTAACTTCATTTAAATTTTGGTTTATGATTTCTAGAGATTTTTGTTGCTCTTGGTGAGCTTCAACAATTCATTCTTCACCTAGATCTTTGAGTTGGTCTCTGACTATGCAATAGATAACAAAATCTCGTTCATGGCGCATGGCAATTTTGAACTCCTTTTTGTGACGATTTTTCTCATCAAATATTCATCTTTCGGCAAGATCTTTGGTAAAAGTCTTGATGATATCGTCGAATACAAAAGGGATGGCTTTATCAAATTGAGCTATCTCCTCTTGCTGTTTGTGACGGAGCTGAGCTAGCTCCCTCTCTCGTTTTTCAGCAAGAGCTTTGCGATGAGCTTCAATTTGTTGTATTTCTTTTTGTCTATGCTCTTCTTCATCGATTAAAATTTGATATGACTCTTTAGCAGCCTCTTGGAGTATAGATTTCATTGCTGAATGGATGATACTCTCAGCAGAGCCTTCAAACTTCGAGAATAATCTGATATCATGAAATGTTGAGTTTATTACTCCAAATGTCATGTCATCAATTAAAGAGAGATACACATAATATGCGTCGATGAAGTCTTCAGCGATGTTTTCGTCTAAAATATGGGTAGCCACATCTTCGTTCTGCTCTTCAATTGCCTCAATTTTTGGTTTCTTTTTATAAAAAATATTCATATTCTTTGCACTAGTTCTGGTATCATCGCCAATGATATGTTCTTTCTTTGCAAATAAGTCTGAAAGTTGTTTTCCTTTGGACTCAGACGTTTCGCTTTTCTTGAAAATATTTTTGCTCTTCTTTCTCACTATCATGTCACTATCTTGACTATCACTCCTCTCTTGTGCTGATATCCCCTGGGATTTGATTCGAGCTTCAACAAAATTTGATAGCGTAGCTACATCGAGAGGGATAGATTGGACCAGTCCTTCTTTTGCGCCTATGCTTGCATAACCAATACTTTGCCGTCCTACAGAAGATCTTTCGAGAGTCTCTTGTTTGCTCTTGACTTCTTCGTCGCTAGAGCTATCTCCAATGATAATTTCTTTTCTCTCTTCAGTAGGCTGAGAGGGAAAAGCATTCCTTGTCTTCTTTTCTGATTGAGGAGCTTTGATCTTTCTTTGAGATGTCTTCTTTGCAAAAAGATTTTTGATAGTCCTTCCTCCTCCTGGTTTTCTATTTTCATTCCTTTGTTCTGCTTGGCTTCGAATTGTATCTCTTTTGTTTTTCTTGAAGTCTGGGGTTCCTTGGTCAGTGGGCCCTTTGGATAATCTTTCAAAGAAGCTAGTAGACTCCCTGACGCTTTCTGTAAACCCTTGAATGCTGCCAGTTGCAGCCTTTTCTTCTTCATCTGATGATAAATCTCCTATCATGTTGGCTTAAATAATAATATTTCAATTCACAATAATGACTTCGGGGTTTTGGGGTTTTGGGGTTTTGGGGTTTTGGGGTTTTGGGGTTTTGGGGTTTTGGGG